ATAAATAAACGTTGAAAAAATAAATAAATAAATAAAAAATAAAAGATACATTAAAATATAAAAAAAATACACCCTGCATTTTTTCCTTGAAAATGATTCTTACAAAATAATACAATAAAAAGAACAGCATGATGTCAAATATTAAGAAGACAAAAAACAGAATAGCATTTGCTAGGGGTTAGGGAGAGGGAGGAATGAGGAGTTACAATTTTTTTTAATTTTTTTTAACGTTTATTTATTATTGAGAGACAGAGAAAGACAGAGCATGAGCAAGGGAGGGGCAGACGGAGACACAGAACCCGAAGCAGGTTCAGGCTCTGAGCTGTCAGCACAGAGCCAGATGCGGGGCTCGAACTCACAAACCGCGAGATCATGACCTGAGCCGAAGTCAGACACTTAACCGACTGAGCTGCCCAGATGCCCCTGGGAGTTTCTATTTAATGAGTACACAGTTTCTTTCTCTTTTTTTCCCTTAATTTTACTGATTTAGTTTTGAGAGAGAGAGAGAGTGCACGTGCAAGAGAGGAGGGGCAAAGACAGAGGGAGACCAAGAATCCAAAGCAGACTCCAAGCTGTCAGTGCAAAGCCCAACGTGGGGCTCAAAGCCACAAACCGTGAGATCATGACCTGAGCCGTAGTCAGACACTTAATCAACTGAGGCACCCAGGCACCCCAGAGAGTTTCAATTTGGAAAAATGACAAAGTTCTGGAGATGGATAGTAGTAACTGTTGGACTACAATGTGAATATAATAATAACGTCACTGAACTATACACTTAAAAGCAATTAAAATATTTTAGGGGTGCCTGGTTGGCTCAGTCAGTTGAGCATCTGATTCTTGGTGTCAGCTCAGGTTATTATGATCTCATGGTTCATGGGATTGAGCTCTTCATCGGGCTTTGAGCTGCCATTGCAGAGCCTGCTTGGGAATGTCTCTCTCCCTTCTCTCCCTTCTCCTACCCCATACTCGCTCATGCCCTCTCTCTCAAAATGAATAAACATTTTTTAAAAATAATTAAGGGGAGCATGGGTGGCTCAGTAGGTTAAGCGTCTGACCTCGGCTCAGGTCATGATCTCATGGTTTGTGAGTTTGAGCCCCGAATCAGGTCTGTGTCGACAGCTCAGAGCCTGGAGTCTGTTTCAGATTCTGTGTCTCCCATTCTCTCTCTGCCCCTTCCCTGCTTGCACTCTGTCTCTTTCTCTCTCTCAAAAATAAATAAACATTAAAAAAATAATAATAAATTAAAAAAATAAAATACTATGGCAAAAAAAATGCTATGGCAGTTGAAAAATGTTTTAAAAAACAATTAAAATATTTTCACTGTAGTGAAAATTAAATAACATCTTTAAAAACTATCAGGGTGCTTGGGTGTCTCATTCAATTGAGCGTCCAACATCAGCTCAAGTCATAATCTCACAGTCCAAGGGTTCAATCCCCACATGGGGCTTTGCACTGACAGCGTGGAGCCTGCTTCAGATTCTGTCTCCCTCCCTCTCTCTCTGTCCTTCCCTCATTCATGTGCTCTCTCTCTCGAAAATAAATATTAAAAAAAATTTTTTAATAAATAAAACTATTAAGAAGAATCATTAAGATGAGCTCTTCCAAATTAAGCTAACAAGTAAGCCCTCCAAGTCATTCTGGTTATCCTTTTGCTTTTTAAATACATGAGTTGGAGTTCCTAATATCTTGCCCAACACAATTAATTCCCAGTACATCCCAAATGTTGCATTACATATTCTTAAATACATCCAGGTGCAATTCTTATCACTGACAACATGTTATTTATCTGAGAAAATGCACAAGTTATTACAATTTTGTAGTTTTGGCATCTTAAATGAGAATAATATGCTGGGAGGTATCTTCAAGAGTAGAATGAAATTAGTTCTCCTCCTAAGCCTTCCCTGAACCCCTAGAGACTAGACTAAAATGCTCTTTCCAACCACACATGCATATCACTACAGTACATATGCAAACCACTCACAGCAGAATACTGAAATGACTGTAGATTTATCTGTAATATGAAGTCCTTGAGGACAGGAGCAGTGTCTTATTCAAATATTTAACATCAGTATTCAGCAAAGTGCCTGCTAATGTAGGTACTCCATAAAACTTTCCTCAACAGTTCAAGTGTACTATGATCATTTAAAAGTTCATAGTCGTGCTACATATCGATCAGACCAGAACATTATTATCAGATACATTCTTACGACACAGTAACTTCTATCAACCACCACAGGAACAAGTAATGACTGAAGAAATAGAAACTGAGACTTCCAATTTTCCAGAAGTAACATCTGAATAAAGGGCAAGAGGGAAGCTCAGGAACCTGTCAACGGCACTAGTTCAGTAACAAGCACAAAAAGGAAAACATCTGTAAAAGTGTGGCAAAAAAACCCCAAAAAGGGACACTCACCACACATCAAGGATTCCTAGTGCTAGCATGGAAATGGATTTGGGATTCTGGTTCTAATGATAAGCTCAGTATCAAAATCACCAGGGTAAAAAAGCAGATCAGAGTCAGGGGATGGAAAGCTGGAAGCAGACACAGGAGAATTCCCAGGCACCCCTATTGGACCCTAACTGTATTTCCTCACTCAACCCTCATCCCAACCACTGCCACCCTGAATGAAGAGGCCTTGCCCTCACTGACACTGGATGTTATTCAAACAAAAAAGAAGCATGAATTGTTAATTGTAAATTCCTCTTGATTAGTGCTGAAAAACTTAAAGAATAAAAGGACAAGAGGATACCCAAACTTGAGCTTTCCAGAGCCAGCGAGATGCTACTTTGTGTAAGTTATCTCAGCAGCTACACACCCCAATCAGAGACTGGGGGTCAAGGACAGCTCTAATAGGTTGCTTCTATTCCCAGCTATGTGACTACACTGCTTTTGATAAGCTGTTCCATCTCTGGTTAACTAACTGGGAAATTTAATCTAATCTTATTCTGGATGTATGTAAGTGGTCTCATCCTGCCTAATTATAGTCCACCAAAAATTCTGCTGAGCTGATGAAA